AGGGCCGGGGCGGGGAGGGGGCGTGTGCGCCGCTCCAGCCAGCGCACAGCTTTGTCTCTGGGTCCGCTGCGGCCCCGCCTGGCACGGGGCTATTTCCAGCCATGACGTCACCCGGGCCCTGTGAGAAGGGCCGCTGTAAGGGCGTGGGCCCGACTGGCGGGAACGCGGCTAATGGGGGCGGAGCCAAAGCGAGGGTACGGCGTTAGGAGGCGTGGCGAGAGCGCCTGGCGGGAATGTGGGGGCGGGGCCAAGCCGAGGGCTCGGCGCGAGGAGGCGTGGCAAGTGGGTTTGGTGGGCATGTAGGGGGTGGGGCAAGCCAGGGGCGGGGCCGAGGGGCGGCTCCAGGAGGGTGGCAACTGCGTGGTGGATGTGTGCGGGGTGGGGTATGGGCGGGGCCAACGCGAAGGGCGTGGCTACGGGACCTAGCCAAGGTATAGGGAATCTGCGAGGGACCTGCTGGAAATGTTGGGGACGGGGAACAGCGGCACCTGGCCTCCAGGGACCCTACCTGCCCAGCCCTTCCCTTGACTTAGGGGAGAGGGTCAAGTGGCAGGAGGTTAAGCCTGGCCCCCTGTGATGCTGCGCAAGCCGCTTCTCACCTGCAGGGCCTTTGTGACTTCAGAATTGGGTTCCTTGAGAAGACTGTTACAGGAGTTGGGTGGAATGGCATGTGCTAAGGTTAGCCTCATACCTGTTTGCTAAGGGAGAACCTGGGCAAACAGTTTTGATGGTCAGGTAAAATGTCTGCAAATAACATGTCTACAGATTTTTTTTCCTTTGGAAGGAGACCGTTCAGTTGCTTCCTTCCTCCCCACTCCTGTTTATAAGGATGGTGTGGTGTGCAAGAAGAAATGCCTTTCTTGGTTGTGGGTAGATCTTCTACACTATTTTCCTCCTGCCCTACTCCCTCCTAGTTTCCAGCAGTAGTAAGTGACTTAAACTTTCTGAATCTGCTGAGGAAACAGGCAAAGTCACCAAGGGCTCTACCTGCATGGAACACAAGTTCAGCCACTGGGAAATTAAGTAGTTGCTAGTCCAGTGATTTTGTCCACTCAGAACACTATCAGAGGATCCCACCTACTAGCTGACTGCTTGGTTTCATTAACCAAATTGTCCATTCATCCTTCCTGTGACACCTCCCTACTGGCTACTTTGTATATCTCTGGAGTTAGTCTTATCATTTACCCAAGAAAAACATGAAGTTACTAACCTATTTTATCTTTTAGCAGTGGGGAGTGGGGAGTAAACCCAGGGTCTCATGTATACTAGTCAAGCTCTCTGCTATTAAGCCACATCCCAGCTCAGAAACCTGTTTGAGAGAGTCAGAGTTTTTAACTGGGCCTAACTGGGCTTCCTAACCAAGTCCAGTCTTCATAGCATTGGCTGGAAAGCAAAGCTGTTGTGAACATTCCATTAAGGTCTTTTTCAATAGAACACAAAGCCTATTGCCCTGTTTAGAGTGCTGCACATGTTACTTTCTGTGGTAGATCCACATGCCTGTCAGGGTTACTGTCCCCTTATTCTCCCAGACTAAGAAGTCACTGTGTTGTGCTGCCTGTAGGTTGACATCATGGACATCTGTGAGTCAATCCTGGAGAGGAAACGGCATGACAGTGAGAGGTCTACATGCAGCATCCTGGAGCAGACAGATATTGAGGCAGTTGAGGCTCTTGTTTGCATGAGTTCCTGGGGTCAGAGATCCCAGATAAGACCCCTCACGCCTGTCTCTGATTCTGGTGACATTACCACGACCGTGCTTATGGACACGACTGCACCTGATCTACCAAAGGACTTTCATTCTTTTTCAACTCTGGTAAGAGGAAGTGGGCAGAGAAGCATTTTTGTGAACTGCCTAGCTTAAGAATGTTGAAGAATTGCAGGGATATTGACTGTGACGCTGGCCAGGAAGTTGCCTGCCCTCCCCTTGTGTGAATCCCAGGCAGTAAAAACTCATCTCTTGAAAATGTTTTCATTGATGGATTATAGCTTGCTAACCAAATGGTTAGTATCCATTAGATGAAGAGAGATGAAAGATACTCATTTCCCTGGGAGTCTTGAGGTGGAGCCTTAAGTTTTCCAACGACCCAGTGTAGGATGAGGATATGTGGGGAACAGATGGAGAAAGCATGTGCTTTGACACCAGACAGCCTTAGCTGGGTGGAAACATTGGCGCCTTTGCCTTCCTGTGGCAGCCAACTCTCATGATTTGGATGCAATAAATCCCTATTTTATTTTTAGGTTTTAAGTTGTAACAGCTAGGAAAGTGGTTAGAGAAGTTGCTTCTCAGATGTGAGAAGTTGAGAGTTATAGATTGCTAACAGTAGTGAAAGTGAGATGTGATTGGCCTGGACTGGGCACTTGCACTGACAAAAAGTACACAAGGTAGATTTGGAGAGGAGTGGGTGGGAGCAAGGGCTAGAACAGTGAGCAGACTAGCTTCTGGGAGCCCCCGAAGTCCTTGGGCTGGGACTCTTGTGGAGTAGCTGAAGAGAACTTGGAATTGTTGGGGTGGGGGACAGTACAGAAGTTTGGTTCAGGCAGAAAGAGTGGTTAGATTTTTTTTTTAAATAATTTTTCATGAGTGTGTTGCCTGCATGTACATGAGTGCACCAGTGTTGTGCAGTGCCATGGAGGTCAGAAGAGGGCATCGGATTCCCCTGGAACTGGAGTCAAGGACAGTTTGTAGCCACCATGTTGGTGCTGGGAATTGAAAACCCGGGTCCTCTGCAAGAGCAGTCAGTGCTCTTAACCACTGAATCATCTCTCCAGCCCCAGATTTTTTTTTTTTTTAAGAATCTGAAATTTGGAGGCTGGGCATTGTGGCACATGCCTTTAATCCCAGCACTTAAGATGCAGAAACAGGTGGATCTCTGTGAGTTTAAGGCCTGCCTGGTCTACATAGTGAATTCTAGGCCAGCTAGGGATACAGGGAGACTCTGTCTCAAAAAGACCAAAAAAAACTGTGAAATTTTATGAAAAACATTCATTTTGAAGTATGAATTTATTTTCTTTTTATAGCCCTAGTGCTTAAATTTGCCTATTTCAGTAGCTTTGGAAAGCCTAGGGTAGACACCGCCCTTCCTTCCAGCAGGGCATATTAATAGTTTGGGAAGGGTTAACCCAAAGGCTGAAGTAGGGTAGGCAGCCTTGAAACCCATTGAGGTGTTCAATTTGGACCAGTCTCTTCTAGATACATCTTTCAACTGCATTGGAAGCAATAAGTTTCTTTACTTAATTTTTATTTTTTTTATCTTTTTGAGACCGTGTCTCCCTATAGCTTCAGCTGGCCTGGAGCTCACTATGTAGACCAGGCTGGCCTTGAACTCAGAGATCTGCCTGCCTCTGCCTCTTCAGTCCTGGGATTAAAGGCGTGCACCACCACATCCAGCTGGAAGTTCCTTTAAAATTTTAATGAAAATAACCTTTTGACATGATATTTTTCTTTCTTCTTTCTTGAAGTGCATAACTCCCCCTCAGAGCCCTGAGCTCATGGAACCATCAACAGGGGTACATGTTCCTTCCCAAGAAACCAATTCCAAAGGACACATGGACATGGCCCTCCTCCCATCCTCCACAGAGGTGACCAGAGCACTGAGCAGGAGAGCAGAGATGGTCATGCCAGATTTGAAACCAGAGCCACTGGAACTAGTCTCTGGATCCCCCTGCAGGGCTGTGATGACGAGTGTGATCCGTCACACTGGGGAGAACCCACCTACCTGCTTTCCTACTGCCCAGGTTCAAGAGCGGCAACCATCCAGCAACAGAGAAGCACAGTTCCTGGGACATTTCGAAGCCTTGCCGGACACACGGCTGACAGATTGTTTATTCAACACTAACTCAGTTTCCTGTCAGCCTTGCTTGCACAAGTCAGGTGGTCTGTTGTCCACTGACAAAGGCCAGCAGTCAGGATGGCCTGCTGCAGTTCAAACCTGTTTACCAAAGAATTTTGAGAATGACTTACCAAGGAAAACCACTCCTCTGATTTCTGTCCCTGTCTCTAATCCCCCTGTCCTTTGCCAAATGATCCCTGTGGTTGGGCAGAATGGCATGTTGTCAGCTTTTTTGAAGCCCCCACCCCAGTTGTCTGCAGGGACTGTCAAACCCATCCTACCACAAGCTGCTCCGGCGCCCCAGCCTGTGTTCATGGGCCCATCTGTGCCTCAGGGAACTGTGATGCTGGTCTTGCCACAGAGCACCTTCCCTCAGCCTGCCACCTGCCATTCCACTGTCATGGCTATTGGAAACACCAAGTTGTTGCCCCTTGCCCCTGCTCCTGTGTTCATTGCCTCCAGCCAGAACTGTGCCCCTCAGGTAGACTTTTCCCGAAGGAGGAACTATGTTTGCAGTTTTCTAGGTTGCCGGAAGACCTACTTCAAAAGTTCCCACCTCAAGGCTCATCTTCGCACCCACACTGGTAAGTGCTGGCCTGTCTAGGGTGATGGGAGTACCAGAACTGTGGTTGGGGAAAGCCCCCTAAGGCTCTTTAAGTGGAGAGGAGTGGGGGAACCCCTAGAGGGGGCTATAAACGTCCTCCCAATCTTGCAGCAGGGTTAGGGTCATGGGCACTTGTGCCAGCTCTCTGGAGGGGAGATTCAGTGACAGTTTTCAGGGTGCTCCCTTCTCACTGTCCAGTAGAGTGTGCATTCACATTTAGTAAAACATCAGTGTGGCTTGAGGTTTGTCCGAACAAGAAGAGTTCACATTCCAGAAAGTTTTAAAAGTATCGTTTTCTTTTGAGACTATATAGTGTTAGTATTGTTGTGAGACAAGGTAGAATTCTGCCTCCTAAGTGCTAAGATTAAAGGCATCTGCCACCAGGCCCACCCTAGGATATATAGTTTTTGAGAAGTCACACAAGAAATTATAATATACCCTGCTGGTTTCTTTGTTATCTAAATTTTATCCAATAGAATTTTTTTGAATAATGGAAACATTGTCTGGGCATTAGGGTGGCCACTACCCACATACATTTGAAATGGGGCTGGTGTGACCAAAAACTGAATTTCATATTCTCATTAGTTAAAGTTTGTACTGTACTTCAGATCAATCCATGGGTAGGTGGCTGTCATGGTTGTCTAGCCGGGGCCCGAGTATTTCCTAGCAGGAACTACTTTGGTAGATTAGGGCAGCATTTCTCAGGTGTTCTGAAAGGTAATATTTTGTTTCAGTGTTTTATTTGTTGAGTTTTTTTAAAAAAAATTTCATCTATTACTTTTTAAATTTTATGTGTATGCGTGTATTGCCTGCACATAGGTAAGTGCACCCTTGTCGTGCAATGCCCTCAGAGGTCAAAAGAGGCTGTCGGATCCCCTGGAACTGGAGTTACTGACAGTTGTTAGCTGCCATGTGGGTGCTAGGATTCAAACCAGGGTCTTCTGCAAGAACAACCAGTGTTCTTAACTGCTGAGCCATCGCTCCAGCCCCCCTTGTTGAAAGTTTTTTGAGACAGGGTCTCCCTGTAGCCCCAGCTGGCCTTGATCTCATAGAGATCCACCTGCCTCTGCCTCCGAAGTGCTGGGGATTAAGACTTCCACAACCACCTCTGGCTGTTGCACAGTTTTTAATGGTCCTGCAGTTGAATAGAGAATTAATACGCATACTTATATATAAACACATGAGTAGAGCTAAGGTTCTACAGTAAAGACATGCTTCTTAAACTCTCCTGAACGTGGGCCCCACCCCATCCCCATCCATCAGAATGTCTGAATTGTGGGCTATGATATAGGAAAGGCTGAGGCTAAAGAGTTACTGCTGTGTTTTATTCCAAAATACTGTTGAGAGAGGCCAGCTTCTCATTAACACAGAACACTGACCATGGCAGTGCAGCCTGGAATTCAGACATTCCACAAGGAATTATCCTTCCATATTCTGGAGTGGTGGTTGGCTTTCGGAATGTGCGTCTTACACTTGTCCTCTGAAGTTCTTGCCAGAGCAGACACAGACTCCTTTGACCTCCTCATTCTGCTTGCATGCTTTCCCCTCAACCCTTTCCATCTCTACCTATGGAGACTTCTGAGGGCCTTCCCAGATCAGTTCATGAATGTTTACCAATCTTCCTTCCCTCTTTGGCCCTGTGGATGTGTCCCACTACCTTTCTTCTTGTTTATTCATTTCCCCTTTGTTTTTTCATTACTTAAGGGCTTAGCTAACCTGGATATAAATTCCTGGTGTCACATTAGTAGATGATGGTTAGCCCTTATCAATTTGTTCTCTGAGAATGAAGGAGCAACCTGTTCTGGTTTCTGCTCTCTAGCATGGTGAACCCCTGATTTTTGGTTAGTCTGTCCAAGGGAACTTTACATCAAAACATAGATTTCAGATTTAGAGAGGTGACTGAGGTTTTCCTGTTTTTTCAGTCTCCCTTGATAGAAATACTGACAGAATGGCAAAAATTACAAGATCAAAGCAAATTCCTTTCATACTTCTCAAAGTACTTTAGTTTAAATAACCATAAGGTTCTGAAGAATCTCCTTCTTTTGCCATTTCATAAACACTCCACTGGCATTTTCATAGGAAACAGCCTTCAGATAGGCTTACTTTAAAGATCACATTTTGTGTATTTCTACCAAACCTGAGCAGTATTTAAATTGGAATAAGGTGAAGTGAATGGATACTCCATTTTGGCTATGTTAAAAACAAATACTTTTATAAGTCCACATCAGGGGGCTCTTAGCCTCTGTCCAACCCCTGGACTTTGGGTATGCTGCCGACAGTGGTGGAGATCAGGCAGCTAGGGCAACTGTCATGTCTGTTTTAGATCTTTAACAATACCTAAGACCGTAATAAGAGGAATGGAGTCTTACTGATTATGTGGTTCTAGAGGCTGAGAAGTCTGAGCATGACACTGGCCTCCACTCAGTGTCTGCAAGGGCACTGAATGTGGCAGAGGGCATTACATGGCATAGCATGCCAGAGAGCTTGCCTTTATAACCAAGCCACTTCTGGGATAATCCTTTATGCCCTAAGGCCTGATGCCTCATGACCCATCCACTTACCAAAGATCCATCTCTCAGGTATCAGTAACATATGACTTTGGGATTAAGTTTCCAAGATGTGAAATTTTGGGTCATAGTCAAACCTTGTCCTTACCTTGTATGTAGTGTTTAAAATCTGTGGAATTTGAAACCCTGCTGCTGATAAATAGTTCATTATGGTGCTGAATTTTCCTGTTAATTAAACTCTGAGAACTATCAGAATTAGTGTCTCTTTAAAATCATTTATTTGCTAACTATTGTAAGAAATCAGTGGAGAGACAGATCACATGACAGTGAGTAACTGTTTAGCAGATCATCCTTCATGCATGTAGTCTGTGATGGCCACTGCCAGGTAGAGAGGGCTTCAGGCTACAGAGAAGGGTCTGTGTCTACTGGGCCAGCTGGAACAATGGCCCTGTTGAGGAGGGCTGCAGTATCTGGCTGCCTGAAAGCTCCCTAACCTCCATAACTCCAGGAAGATGTGACCGTGGAGCACCTGCCAGGTGCTCTGAAACTTTGATAGATATTTGAAGCTTGTGATCAGAAGGTGTCTGTTAGAATACTAACCTTACCATCTTATAACTATAACCTGTGTGATGGTTGATATTGTCAACTTGGGGACAAGCCTCTGGGCAGATCTATGAGGGATTAGCTAGATTAGGTTAAGTTCTTGCCGCCTTAATTTCCCTGCCATGAGGGACTGTACCCTTAAACTATGTGTCAAACTAAACCTTTCTGGGGCTGGAGAGATGGCACAGAGCTTAAGAGCACTGGCTACTCTTGGAGAGGACCCAATTCCCAGCACCCACATGGCAGCTAACAGCTGTTTATAACTTCAGTTCCAGGGGAGTCTGATGCCTTCTTCTGACTTCCACAGGCATTGCATGACACAGGTGCACCTACCTACATGCAGGCAGTACACTCATACACATTAAATAAAAATGACAAATTAAAAAAAACACTTTCCTATCGGGCATTGTGGTGCACACCTTTAGTCCCAGCACTTGGGAGGAAGAGGCAGGCAAGATCTCTGTGTATTTAAGGCCAGCCTGGTTTACATAGTGAGTTTCAGGTCAGCTGGTGCTACAGGGGGAGACCCTGTCTCCAAAAGACCAAAAAAAAAAAAAAAAAACCCAACCAAACAAAAACCCCCTTTCCTTAAGTTGTTTTTGTCAGCTGTTCTTTCTAGTAACACAAAGTAATTAATACAACCTACTTTTCAGTGTGGTAAGAGCTATGGAAATGAAATTAATGATCTTGAGAAATGTTAAGGTTTTCAGAAGGACCTTTGTGTGTGTGCAGGGGACAGGGGAGGAGGGTGAAAGGGGGCGGTTTGTCTTGAGAGTGAGGGTATTATTAATTTGGAGAATTTTGCTTCAGGTCTCTGAATGTAGCTCAGTTGATAAAGTACCTGCCCTGTATGTACTTTTAGGTTTTTTTTAAAGAATTATTTTATTTTTTGTTTTATGTTTATGAGTGTTTTGCCTGCATATACCTAAGCCACACCTGTGTGTACAATGCCTGCTGAAGCCAGAAGTCAGATTCCCTGGAACTAGAGTTAATAGACGGTTCTTAGCTACCATGTGGGTGTTGGAAACTGGACCTGGGTCCCTTGCAAGAGCAACCAGTGCTCTTAACCACTGAGCCATCTCTTCACCCGCCCCCCCCAAATTTGTTAGCTATATCTTAAAAGCTATGGACAGCATATAGCTTTTAAGAAAAATCCTGCAATTCTAACACTTAAGAGTCTGAAGTAGTTGTTTGTATTTTTTTTCAGAGATTAGGTTAATTTGGTGTCTTTGGGTCTTGATGTATTACATCTTAGATGTGCTAGGAAGAAATGCATTATGGAGGGTTTACTGACTTCTACGTCACCTAGTACCAGAACAGTTGGAGATTACTCTCTTCTGAGATTTGAGTGAGCAAAACTTGAGGTGCTGAGCATGTACATTTGTCTGTCGTGTTCTTCCACTTACTAGGGGAGAAGCCTTTCACTTGCAGCTGGGATGGCTGTGATAAAAAGTTTGCAAGGTCAGATGAACTGTCTCGCCACCGCAGAACTCACACAGGGGAAAAGAAGTTTGCATGTCCTGTGTGTGACCGACGCTTCATGCGGAGTGACCACCTGACGAAGCATGCCCGGCGCCACATGACAACCAAGAAGATCCCAGGCTGGCAGGCAGAGGTGGGCAAGCTGAACAGAATCGCCTCTGCAGAGAGCCCTGCGAGCCCCCTTGAGCCCTTGCCAGCCTCAGGCTGAGAGGTTATATGGTGTTCCTCAAAAAAAATAAAAAAACAGTGTTCTCTGGGCTGGGGAAGGCCGGAAGCTGGTTCTGATGAAGTATGTTACCTTTACTTTTCTGATTGGGACCCTGTTTGGTATCTATCTTTTGTAGTTTCAGAAGTCTATCTTTTTTTTTTTTTTGGTATGGAAATGGAAGCAAATTTGATAATCTAAATCACCAGCATTCAGACAAACATTTTGGCAATAACGTTTACAAAGTCTGGATTTTTTTTTTACAACCTTTTGTAGAAATGAGACAGGGTACTAATTTTATACTTTTTTTAATATATATTTATATTGTGCTCAAATCAACAACTTCTAGATGGATGATTTTACAACCTTCTTTCCAGTGTTTTATAACCAAGTTTTATAATGTCCCTGCTTAGCAGAAGCTAGGTACATTATCAGAAAAAAAAAAAAAAAACCTACATGTTTATGATCAGCCCTTTTATATATTGGGATGTGTTAGGAGTCAGAACTGGTAAATAAAGGCCTTTATGAGGGAAAAATAAGTTTTGTAGTCAGCTTCTTTGTAGCATTTTCTGGAGAAATTCTAGGCAGTCAGTCCTGTAGCCCACAGAACTGAAATTTTGGTTGGGTAGAAGTAGTCGCATGTGCCTGTGAAGGCTGTGCCCTCGGTATACCTGGGCCACTGGCCAGCTTCAGGTGAATGGGGACTGCTGTGAGATGTGTGTTAGTGTCATTTTCTGTGCTGTTCCTCTGCCCAGAGCACAAAAAAAGAGAATGCAGACACTCAAACCAGCAGCTTTGTGGATTGTCAGCTGGCCTCTTCTGATGTGGCTTTATCCTACCTGGTTGGTTGAATGACTGCTTAAAGAAAAGGAAATGTCTGATTTGGTTGGATAAACTTTCCACGAAGTTGCAGCGAGGATTGTGCACAGTCAGCTCTGAGCTTAGGATGCCTTTATTAAGGAAAAAACCTACAAAATTCATGTTTTACTAAATGACAGTGGAATACCACTTAACTGCCCTTTCATTCATTTTGTTTGAAGGATATTGTTTTGATCAAACAAAAAATTACTTGGAATGGGGTTTTGCAGTTTACCTAGAAAGTAGACCACGGGCTATGTAGACCATGGACTACGCCTTGTAAACACATGTCCTATATATATGAGACTGGTCGCCTTGTCCAGTTGACCACTGAAACTGGTTTTGGTTAAATACTGTAATTTTAGGCAACACAATAAATGTTAAGAACAGGGATTATTGCATTGTTTTGGTAGTCTGGTAATAGTTTTGTGCAGGATATATTAGATTTTTATTTTCTTTTCAATCATTGGCATTTAACTTTGTTTAAATGATGACAAGGTTCAAATAGTAAATAATTGGGTAAAGTGAAGTTTTGCGTGCAGGTCTTTTTTAGCCTGATAAGCCCTTACCTGGTCATACATTGTACACCACTTGATTCCCATTAAGTTGTTCTTTAGTAGCACCTACTTTTTGACATGTATGTATGGATTTTTAGGAAATTGTCACATTTTTTTGGACAGTTCCACAGTTGAGTGTCTCAGTTGTCATACAGCACAACACAGCTGCAGAAGAACCATAGTTGTACATAGCTCGTGCTTTTCCCACACCCAATGCTTTCTGCTGTTCATCTTCAGTCAGCACTAATGCTTCTGACTGTGTGCAAGTTGTAAGTAAATGGTATCATATATTGGCATCTTTCTTCATTATGACATGAAAGTAATGTCTGTTGTACTGGTGTTCTGTGGGTAACAAAAGGTCTTGGAGTATTTGATTACTTATCACATAGAACTTCATTCTCTGACCAGTATTGTTTCTAAACAACAGATGTGTTGAAATATTGTTAAGCTTCTATTTCCTGATTAGATTTAGAAATCTCTTCTATAAAAGAGCCCCCACCGTTTGTCTATTGAAAGATTGTTGTGTTGGAAAACAGTTCCCATCTGAAAAGTACTCTCCTGAGCACCAGAGCCTCAGTGGTGTCTATTCTCTTTTGGGGCCCTCCTCGACGGCGCCATGAGGCAGTTTCCCCCAGTGCACTTTATCGCTTGAGCAGTTCTGCTTGATTTGCTTTGATATTTTACTTTGAGCCTTTCAGTAGTTATAAAATTTTAAATGTTTCCTAATTATGTTTTATGTAATAGATTTTGACCTATTTAAATGAGAATGTGTAATGTAACTTCTTTGAATCATATAAAACTCTTGATTTGCAGACTGGACTTGTGTCCTATGCTGTGTAACTGTGTCCAGTGATTTAGGACTGGATGAATGAGTCTGGAAGATTCATCATCTCTTGGTGTAATTTGAACTCTTGTGTTATAGGGTCTAATCTGTTTTTGCCCTTATGACTGGACAGTGCGTCTGATCCTGGGAAGATAGGAGCCAGCGAGCTAAGTAGCCCTGTGACCCTCCTGTGCTGGGGGGTGACTGATTGCCAAAGTGGGGGGACTTGTAAGAGGTACTTGGAAACTTTCTTGCCACCTTGCTCCACCCCTGGTCAGGGTGAAAAGTGCATCACAGGGGCTGAGGAGCTGGCTCAGTGGGTTAAAACACTTACTCACATGAAGACCTGGGTTTGAATTCCCAGCACCTACATAAAAAGGTGGCTTGTGTATGCCTCAACCCCAGCACTGGTAGGGTAGAGACCCAGTCTGGGAGTTTGCTGGCTGACCAGTGTAGCTGGCATAGCAAGGCTTTGGTGCAGTGGCAAGCCCTGTCTCAAGTCAATAAGGTAGAGAGTGGATGGAGGACACCCAAAGTCCTGGGCATGCACACCTGACACTCAAATATACCACACACAGATATACCACATGTGCACAAAAGTACATCACAGAATCAGGTGCAGTGGCCTCTTCCTTTAATTACAGCATTTGGGAGATAGAGACAGAAGGATCAGTTCAAGATCACCCTCAGCTAAATAACAGGTTTAAGGCCAGCCTGAGCTACGTGAGACACTGTCTTAACAACAAAGGCATCATGGAACCAATCTTCCCTCTCTGTGCACAGTCTCCTTAATACCCTCTTTGGCCGGGGCTTTGCAAAAACATACACAGGGCACTCCCATGGATATCATGAGAAACTGATGGGCAACATCACAGCCTCACTTGCTGTCAGCTGCATGGAGCAGTGATGATGGCAGCCCCAAAGACCACAGTCCCCTGCTTTTTCCACACTTCAGTCTGCTCCTTTGCTGCACCCATCTCTTGACCTTTCTGCTGGAAGGCCCCGACACTTAGTCTTCTGCAGGTTCTTCTTTGGTGGCCTTTCCCTGCCTTGTGACAGAGATAAAAACATCTCTGGGGATGGAGAGTTTGTTCAGTTAACACTGACTGCTCTTACAGAAGACCTGGGTTCAATTCCCAGCACCCACATGGTGGTTAACAACCCTCCATAACCCATAACTCCAGTTCTAGGGGATCTGATGCTCTCTTCTGACCTCAGGCATTGCACAGTATGGTGCACTTACATACCTGCAGGCAATACATATACATAAAATAAAAATAATATTTTTTAAAAATGACATCTCTGGGGGTTTAGCTCAATTGTGGAGTGCTTGCCTAGCATGCATGAAGCCCTTGGGTTCAGTCCCCAGCATTGCATAAAACAATAGTGGTACATGTCTCCTGTTTCCAGCATTCAGGAAATGAAGGCAAAGGATTAAGAGTTCAAAGTCATCCTCAGCTATATAATGAGTTGAAGGCTAGCTTGAGCTACATGAGATGCTCTCAAAAACAAAAAAAACCCATTTCAGCTGGGTGTGGTAGTACCCACCTTTTAAACTCAACACTCAGGGAGCATAGGCAGGAGGAGCTCTGTGAGATCAAGACCAACCTGGTCTACATAGTAAGTTCCAGGCCCCTGGGGCTACAGAGAGACCCTGTCTCAAAAAACAAAAAATAACATCTCACTAGTAAAGACTCTTGGGTGTTACTTCTGTGCTTCTCCACTTTAGCTTCCTATATCCAACTGTCCACTTGACACCTGTTCAGTCACCTTCTCAAGACTTGAAATTGCAGAGCTCCACCTCTCCGTTTGCTTTACTCCCAGTTGACCCTTAAAAAGAACAGCCCCTGCATTCTTGTGGTTCAGTTCAAGACCTTGGAGTCAGTCCCCTTAACTCTTCTCACCCTACAATTCCACCTGTTACAGTCCTTTACTACTTTTCCAAAGCATCCTATGTTTTGGAAACTTCTCAGTATCCACTGTTGCCACTAGCTCAAGCCACCACCCTTGCTGTTTCTTCTCAGGCCCCTTCAAATCTTCTCAGTGGCCACAGAAACTGTTTGGAAATGTTCACATCACTCTTTCTAAAGTCCTTTAGTTTCCCATCTGTCCTAGTTTCATTCTGTTGCTGTGACAAATACCATGACCACAGCAACTTAGGAGAGGAAAGTGTTTATTTCAGCATATAGGCTGTAGTCCACCATTGAGGGAAGTCAGGGTAGGAACTCAGCAGGCCTGCTTGCTATTTTACACAGCATTACCTTGGACCAAAGAACTCAATTCATAGCCAAAAAAATGTACAGCAGGAACCATGCAGATGCTGTTTGTTGACTGGCTTGCAAACCACCTCACACTCGGCTAGCTTTCTTATACTATTCAGGACCACCTGCCTAAGGATTATACCACCCACAGTGGGCTGGGCCCTCCTACATCATTTAACAATCAAGACAATCCCCCACACAGGCCAATCTAATCTAGGAAGTTCCTCAAGGCTTTTTTTCTCAGATGACTAGCTGGGAAAAATTGTCAAGTTGACAATTAAAGCTAACTAGGACACCGTCTATCTTCTAGGAAAAGCCAAAGTCTCACAAGGATCCTGCTATGGTCCTGCCTTTGTTTTGGAGAAGCCAGGGACTCAGCTGCAGGAACCACCTGCACCTGCCTCACTCTTTCCAGATGACCATTGCTTTTCTTAGGTGGTGATGGAAGCCAAGGGGTACAAGGCCCCCAGCACCCACTACTACCCAGAGCTCCACTAATGGAAGTCTCAAGGGCTTCACTCACCAACAACGGCATATTGTACAACTCCAGGCCAAGTCTCTCCTCTTACCTGGTCCTGTCTGGCCTCATCTCCTTTAGCACTTTCCCAAATTCGCCTGAATCTCTGAGAGTTGGCTGTGAAGTCCCAAAAAGATGACTGTCAGTTGACTCCAGGCCTGACCACAACTTGTAGATGTGGGTTAATAGCACTGGCCACTCAGGGGAGTAAAAGAGTCGCATTGAAAGAACAGAGTGTAATCTATCGAATATGTTCACTCAGTACTGCTGAACGTAAGCACCTGGGGCAAGAACTACCTCCCTATTGAAACATCCCTTGCCTTACAACAGTGCCTGGCATGTGGTAGGTGCTGAATGCAGGCTTGAAAAGATGTTGGGTCCTTGCACTGGAATTTGTGAGCTGATGCTTCAGGATGTCAGTACAGGGATGAGCTGAGCTGCTCTGTCAGCTCAGTCTGGGGGCAGTGGCAGGCCTCTGGCTGGGCCTTCCAGGGATGCTGAGAAGGGGCACACCTGTGTCCCCACCAGAGGGGGTAGAGTTGTATGTGTCCCCGTGGAAAGGGCCCACTGCTTTACAGGTGCCCACCTTAGCGGGATGGTGCAAGAAAGATTAGTCGTTCATGCTGGTCCTGGCTGTTGTGTGTGTGCAGATGTGTTGGGGGTTGAGAAGTGTCCTGGATAGCTTTAGTTGTCAACTTGACACACCTGATTAGAGGAAATCTCAATTAAGCATTGGATTTGCCTGTGGCCATGTCTGTGGGGCATTTTCTCAATTGTTAAGTGATATGGGAGGGCCCAGTCGCCCACTGTGGGCAGTGCCAACCCTGGGCAGATGGTCTTGTGTTGTATAAGAAACAGGCTGAGCACTGGCCAGAGGAGCAAGCCAGTAAGGAGCGTTCCTCCATGAGCAGCAGTCCTCCATGGTCTGTGCTCCAGGTTCCTGCCCTGAGTTCCTGCTTTGGCTTCCCTTGATGATGAACTATGCTATAAGCCACATAAACTCCTCCCGAAATTGGTTTTGGTCAATGTTTTTATCACAGCAACTGAAAGCTAACTAGAACAAGAAGTAATAATGGCCATTGCATCCAACTGTTCTGAAGGGACACATACATCATGGAGGCTCACCTTCCAAGTCCTCTTAGCACTCCTAAGGGCCCAGCCAACTCCAGATTGCCCTGAACTGATCTGAAAACAGGCCTCCTCTGCCCAGCATGGATCCTGCTGAGCTCTGAGGACAAGCTGGCCAACAAGCAAAAATCATACAGAATAAAGAAGACCCTGTGAGCCAAATGCCAGGGATGAAGAGATGCTGTGAGCCAAAGGCCAGGGAAGAGGAGATGCACAAACAACCAGGTAACAATGCAAATTTGTGGTTTGAATGAGAAATGTCCCCAATAGGCTCAAGTATTTGAACATTTGCTATACGGTCCCCAGCTGGTGGTACTGTCTCTGGGGAAGGTCATGGAACTTTTATGAGTGGGCTTGCTGGAGGAAGGATATCATTGGGGGAGGGCTTTGAGAGTTCATAGCCTTGTCCCACTTCCAGTTGCTCTCAGCTTTCTGCTCCTGCCACCACCTGTTATGCTCCCCCTACCACTAGGGACTCCCTCTAAAGTTGTAAGCCAAAATAAACTTCCTTCTAGAAGCTGCCTTGGTTATGGTGTTTTATCAAAGCAACAGAAAAGTAACTAATATATAGGTAAAGCAGTAGAAACTTAAGTGCCAGGAAGCTGCCTCAGTTCTCACTGCTAGCTCCAATATAGTGACCTCTATGGAACTACCCCAGGTCGCCTGCCTCTGGATCTCACAAGGTTGTAAAAATGTGTTGCCAGATTCTACTGGCCTTCATTTACTGCAAATTTACTTTCTAAAACGTAAGCTCCTATATGGCAGATATCAAATTGTATCCATCCATCCACTCACTTCTTTACCCTCCCATGCACCCATCCGTTTACTCACTACTCACCCATCTACTCATCCATCCATTCATCTCCCCTCCTTCCAGCTATCCATCTGTCCACCCACTCATTCGTCCAGTAATCATTTAATGAACTGTTGTGTTGGATAAAAACAATAGCAACAACAACAAAACAGAGGTATTATCCCAGCTCTCACCCAAAGACTTTATAATTATGTAGGTGATGCACACAGGAAGATATGTGGTAAACATTCAGGCATAATGGAGTCTACTCCCAGAGAATTCTCAGGCCATG